ACGATTTTCCTGCTTTTCCATTTTTACGAAAACCACAGAGGCGTCTTGTTCAGCGTGCTGTCAAACCTACACTAGCAAGGAGATCGGGCTGAAACTATAGCTACAAGCTATCCAAGGATGGTACTATAGAATGTCACCTCAAGGTAGGCCTAGTGGCGTCATCTCTTGGTTAGGCCGGAAACTTATCAATCCACCCTCGTACATACAACAAGAAAACCAACCGAATATTTTTTTTTAATTTAATTTTGTACAACTGATCCCTGCTTTTAAATATTTCATCTACGCTCCTGATAGGGTTACTGAAGAAAGAAGATTGTAATTGCTATACCTAGAACTTCCTACCTTTGCCATTGCTCATCCATGCCATTTTAAAATTTCCGCCAGCTTCGAGCATCAAACCTTTACCTACTTGCACATGAATACATGTAGTATGACATAGACGCTTCACAGTGATAATGTTTGATACTATTTATTTATTACTGTCTGTTATTTAATGATTGCTCTGTACACTGTATCTCGTTACTTCTTGGCGTTTTTAAAGTGAAGCTTTTATTAAATAGCCTCAAATTTTTTCGTCCATCTCTTGTATGTCGCATTATAGCCGGCCGCGGAGTAGGAGTGAAACTGAAAGGCGCTCGGCAGAGCAGCCAAGGCCAAAATGGTACCGCCCATGACTCGCATGAGCTAACCGTGTAGTATTTATATTCTCACTCATTCGTGCAAGTGCATGACAATTACATTTATAGACTGTGAAACTCAAAGCGAAGATGAAGTTATTGATAGAATAACTAAAGTTCGAAATGATTTAATGATCTGAATAAATGTTGTTCTTAGTTTTTAACATGCGTCTATCATCTGGATTATTGTATTTATTATGTATTCCGTACTCTCATACGTAGATTGAAATTAAATTTGATAGTTGGATATCTAGTCTACTATTGATTTCCCATTATCCTTCTGATTTTCCAAGCAATAAGATAAGATTAAGAACGCGATTTTAATTTTAATACCTTAAATCGAATAATTTTCCGAAAATTTACAGTTAAATGCCTACAATTCGAAAAGTTTCGCTTGCATCGTGGTTTCATAAAACCGCACAATTGTTTTTTTGTTAAATTTAGTTTATGTGACTTTACTGCTCCAGTTAATGTGACGTATTCAGAGCCTTTCGAGAACAGTTGCAGTTTCTGTCTCCGAATATTTTCTACCTATGGAGGCTTGATGTTGTATAAAGCATCATGTAAAAAATCGGTTGTCTGTAAAGTCGGTTTACTGACGATAGTTGAACGTGACAACGTCATAAGAAAATACTGATGGAATGGTTTCATTTTTCAAAAGAAAATTTTAATTTTATTTGTTTGATAGATATTTTGTATGGATATAGAGAAGGAGGTAAATGGAAATGTATTATTGTATAGCAGCTGTCCACGCGGACGCATCGCTCACTCAAGTAGGAGAGAGACAGATGTCGAACGCTGCCGAACGCGGAGGCCGATTGTGCCTCTTTGTCGCTCGTTCCGCGCTCTCGCTTGCACTTCAAGCCTTAAATGGAACGCCTCAGAGCGAGGTAACGCCGCATGAGTCATGTTTTTTCGTGCGTGCAGCCGNAGATGGTAATATTCAGAGAGTCTCAAAATGTTTTCTACCTATGGACTGACCGGTGTAAACTGAGGTTTAATGTTGTATAATGTTTCATGTAAAAAAAATAATACCTAGTCTGGTTATCGATATAACCTTGTCTATAACTTGTAAATAATGTAAATCACTAATTATTATTACATTTCTTACTTTAAATAAATTAATTGATTGTTGTAATTCACTATCAATTTGTTATCAATATCGCTGATATGTATTATCATATTTATGGTATAGATGCGAAACTTCAAAGATACCAAAAGTAATCCCTGAAATAATTACCCCCACCACTCGTTATTAGAAACATAATCGTCAAATTGTCTATCGATGTATCTACTACAATTTATTAATAAATAATTAATCTTATTGGTAATTTTAGTTCACATTCCATTTCGTTTGCACTTTTCATCACCTATTCAAAAGTGTTCACAACTTTTACTGAGATGGCGACTTTACCTATTCTATTTCTAATATTGTGTGTTTTTGCTTCGGAGGTAAATAATAAATAAAGTAAACTTAATTCTCATATAACGTATCTAAATAAAAATTAAATTTAACATTATTAGGCAAAAATATTCCGTAACTTGCATGCACCACCCCCAATAGATGTTCCCGTCGGCAGAGCTACTGTTCCCGTGTGGGCTAACATAACCCAAAGGGTTGATCATTTCAATCCTGTGGATAAAAGAACATGGAAAATGGTAAGTGCAAAAATAGTTTCAAATTGAATATTCCGTTTATTTTTTAATTATATTCAACATAACAAGCTGAATGGTGTCGTGGGATACCTGGTAGAATAGGAACGAGGTCTCTAATTATTTTTGACAAATATTCGTCGAAGGGTTCGCGGAATGGGGGTAAGAAGTAGAAATAAAAGTACGAATTTATTTTTCCTTTTCAATATATTTATCTACTACCCTTACACATTTTTCCCATCTGTCAACTAACTTACGTATAGGTACCTTCGAAAAAAACTGTTTTGTATTTGTCTGAAAAATACGCTGAAACTGCATCCTTCACGTCGTCATTGCTTAAAAATTTCTTCTCACGTAAACTTTTTTCAAGTTTGGGAATAGATAATAATCGCTGGGAGATAGGCCAGGACTGTAGGGTGGGTGTGCAAAAATTTTAAAGCGCACCTTCTGCAAGGCAGCCATCGCAACACGGCTGTTGTGAACAGGCGCGTTGTCGTGCAGAAGGAGGACACCTTTGGTGAATCTTCCTTTTCTTTTCTTTTTTTTACTGCTTCCTTTAACCGCTGTAGGATTAAAGCATTGTATTCACCGGTTATAGAGACACCTTTATCCTTATAATCGATCAGCAGGATGCTTTCTGTTTTTCGTCTAAACTTAACCACACCTCTTCATCCTTTTAGGAATAAAATTTAAAACAATCTCTCCTCCTAAAGTAGCTACCTAGTCAACGAATAGGTACCTATATTCGATTTATATGAATGAAAATTCAACGAAAATATTTTTAATAGTTCAAGAACTGAATATTAGTTCAATTTCTTTTTCCGTAGAGATATTTATATAACGACGAGTGCTTTGTGAGTGGTGGTCCAATATTCATATATCTTGGGGGTGAATGGACCATAACAACGGGAAACCTTATGACCGGGCCAATATACGACATTGCATGTGAAAATGGCGGATATATGTTTTATACTGAACACAGATATTATGGTGAAAGTCAGCCGACTAGGTATGTTGCGTGGTTGCTTATAAAAACTAAATACACTATAATGCTCCTGATTGTTGAGGCACTTAATTTATGAAATTTTAAATACCTAATGAAATTAAAAAAAACGGTCCATTTGTATATATTTTGTGATTATTTAAATGGATCCTTGCGCATCAGGAATGCAACATTCTGACTGTTTTCTTTAGAAAATGACTTCATGTTCAAATAATGTTGTAGGTAAGAGTGAAGGTCACGTATAAATTCTCCAATTAATTTCCCCCTTGAATGCATATAACTTTAATAATGACAATCACTAAAGATATTCCATATTTCTTTTTTGCAATGATCGCTGGAACTCATGTGTTTGCCATTCGGGAATTAAGGATAACGAGAACCACATTCCTGTAACTTTTTAAGTATTGTCTTAATAGCGTAATCTAAAAAATAGAGTATTTTCACCCTCTGTGTCTACCCGTTCTTTGTCGCAATTCTCCCTGTTTCCGTAAAATTTGTCTAAATTCCCGATGACGCTGAAATCCCTTGACCAGCTCTCCTATTACTTAGAAAAATGTTTCATAATGAATTTACCATTGCAAGTTCCAAACTGATATTTAAATTATACTCTGTTTACAAAAACCGATGGTGTGCTTTTAGCAGTAGGTAAAACTGAAGGTACACTATAGTAGTTGAACCATGAAGGGGCTCTTGTATTCACGTCTGCTCCCTTGGTGGCTTCGAACCCTTTAAACGAACCGTCGAGCCGGTCTGTCGCACAAACAAAAGACACCTTGTCATAAACAATGCCGATTCTAATGCATCTCTTTTGTCGGCAGATACCAGCGACCGAAAAGCTAATTAGATTGTATTTGGTCTCATCGTCAGTTTGAACATTAGTTGCGGTCTTGTCTCCGTTTTACGTGTTTACGGTTTCAGTTCAGCCGGACGCATTTACTGGTTTGTGATGAACGAAAAAGTATTGTTTTTGAGACATTTTTATCAATGCTTACTTAAAAGCGTCTAATTGTAAGACGGTTTCACTCACTAATCCATGCTTATCTATTACTAGATTTTACCCACGGCTTCACGTGTGTTGATGTCCTAAATACGTGTTAAAGTTCATCGACGCCCACATAAAACTAATTTTTCTATCCCTTGGGAACAGCATTTTTTCTTCTGGATAAAAGCTATGCTATGTCCTTTTCTGTAACCCCTGACAATGTTTTAGACCAGTGTGAAACAAATCGTTTAAAAAAGAATGTTACTTTATCCGTATGTGTTTTCTCAGGAGGTTCTTTTTGTTATGTTAATATCATCATCATAAGAGGTCGTCAGTCCTAAGACTGGTTGGACACGTACCTCCACTCTGTCCTGCGTTAATCTTCGCATTTCGCATTTCCCTAAAGCTAGAGCAACCCATATATCCTTTGCCCACATCATTTGCGAACAGTAATCTAATCTAGGTCTACCTCTACCCCTCCTAACTTCCGTTTCTGCCTCTAATATATTTCAGACTAGACCTTCGTGCCTGAGAAAGTGTCCTACTAACCTAACTCGCCTATTTCTTTTTGACTTCCATAGAGTCCTCTGTTTTCCTATTCTTTCTAATACCTCTTCATTTCTTACCTTCTCCATCTACGGTATCCTCATCATTTGCCTGTAACACCACATTTCAAACGCTTCTAACCTTTTCTTTTCCGGCGCGCCCACCGTCCATGTTTCGCACCCGTACAAAGCCGTGCTCCAAACATACACCTTTAACAACCTTTTTCAAAGGCGCCTCGGCCCTTCGCTATCCTCTGCTTTATATCCCTACTACTCCTTCCATCTGACTTCCTAGATACCTGAAATCGGCCACTTCTTCTAATTATTCGTCTCCTATCTTTATATTCGCCCTTTTCCCTACTTTTCCTTGCCTTGCATACCAATAGTTTTGTTTTACTTTTATTTATTTTCATACAGTAGTTTTGTCAACACCGCTTACATTCTATTTAAAGCCATCTCTAAGTCCTCCTCGCTAGATGCTTATACGGCTATATCATCTGCAAATCTAAACTTACTATTCTTTTGCCCATGTATATCTATCCCTTCAGTTGTACTGTCTTTAATTATGTCGATCGCGTCTTGAGTGTGCATCCCTGTCTGACTCCCTTCCTTCTTGTCTTTAATTGTACACTGCACAATACTTATGTATTAAACATCTGTGCTGTTGATTTTTGAAACAAGATATGATATTTGAAATTTTGAAATTGTTCTGTTTTCTTTGTAGACTTGCTCTCAGATTAATCCCTAAACGTTAGACTTTCTAATAAACAAAAGTATATCCACAAATTAGAAATTCGGTTGTAGCTCCTATATCTATGCATAGAGATTGTCAATTAGTTGAATTCAACATAGGATAATTCTTCAATGCATAAATGATTCAATGATTTAAAACGTTTAAAGTGCATCTACCTTATAGAAATTACCACTAATCGTAAGAATAACATTGAAAGGAGCAAATAATGAATAGAGTGATAAGTAAACGAGACAAGGTATACTTAAGTGGAATTCCTTTTACAGTGATTGGAGTTCTGAAAATCTAAAGTACCTTTCGGCCGATCAAGCTCTGGCTGACATTGCTTACTTTATCAAATACCAAAAAGAAAACGTTCAAGCCTTACAAAATAGTTCAGTGAGTAACTCTAATTAGAATTCTACGTCAACATTTTCATGATATCTCATTTAGCTTCGTTAAATTTCTATTAAAACTGGTGTAGCAAAATAAGCCACAATAACTTACTAGCTACTACTTAAAAATGCAATTTTATTAATTTGTGGTTACTCTAGGTAGTAGCAATTGGAGGCTCTTACTCTGCAACTCTTGCGACATGGCTTCGTATTAAATATCCTCATTTTGTTGACATTGCATATGCCTCCAGTGCTCCACTTAATGCTAAAGAAGATTTCTATGGTAAGTCCAATTATTTGATATTATAAATATGTAGAAATGAGTCGTTGATAAGAATGCCGCATTCATAAATAAAGTACTTATTATAAGTTTCTTATTGCACTTCTTGGTGCAGTGAATTGACTAAATATGATAGCATTCCAAACTGTACCTAACGTTGACGAATCGTTTTACGTCAATACGAATTGTGCAAGCATGTTATTTGACGAGAAGAGGTGAGAAAGTAGAAAGGAAAGGAGTCGTCTATGAGAATGCCATTCATAAATAACGTATTGCACTTCTTGGTGCTGATCTAAAACCAAGTACATTTGGATGTATCATTCCCGCTACCTACTAATGCTTACTCCAGAATACAGCAGACTAATCTCAGTGTTCTGAGAGAAAACTATAGCAAACGGTTCACTGTGGTTGGAGTCAGTGTTTGAGAGGAAACTGTAACAAACGGTTGATTGTGATTGGAATCAGGGTTTCATGAATCGCTTTCATAAATAAAAAAAAAACATAAAAGTGATTGTTTCTTTTTTCATTGGTTAAGACTCAATGTTACATGTTTAGGAAAAAATGTTTAGGTTTACAACGTTTATTTTTGCGTTACTTTTTACAACTTGGTAACCTAACGTAAAGGCGATAACTACTTGCATATGTACGTAGCACTTAAGAAAACAACAATTCTATTTAAAGCCGAAAAGATATTTGTTATTACAATGGTTTTAAACTTATGATTTTGGTTCGCTATAAATTCAGCTTCTATGAAATGTGTTAAATACTCTGAAAAGTGTTGCTTATCACGGAGTCCCTCGCGAAAGTACTCGCATGAAATTTAGCTGAGTACGTTTCAGAAAATACTACAAACGGCACAGTGAACGCCATCTGTAGCACGATGCTACATTTTAGGATTACGTATTTTTCAACAAGGTCCACTTGTGTGGATATCTACTTGATGAAAACGAATCCTGGCGTAGTCAACCTCAACGTGATAGGCACGTTAGCTTAATCGAATAAAATAATCCACACAAGTGGACCTTGAAAAATACGTAATCCTAAAATGTAGCATCGTGCTACAGATGGCGTTCACTGTGCCGTTTGTAGTATTTTCTGAAACGCACTGTTAAGACAGCAGGTAAAAGTTGGTCTGTGTTCTGTCGGAGCTGCCTGCGACGCGCTGATGAGATCCAGAAAGATCGAATCGCGATCCGTGTCTGGCAGTTTCGACAGAATACAGACCACTTCGAATTATTTTATTAGCTGGGTACTTCTATCGTAAACGGAAAATGTCTACCAAGTACTTCTCTTCTGACATATTCTATTGCTACAAATTTTGGCTAATGTATAAAACATCAACATAATCATAGTTTTTGTTAGTCCATGTAGCATCTAGCTACCTTGTAGCTAAGCACTCGCCTTTTTTAAAATACTGTTGAAGTAAAATATGAATCGTAAAGTTAAATAAACAATAATGTTAATGAACGTTATTTTAATTTTGTTTTTAATAACAATTTTACTGCTACAATTTTAACTGAAAATATTTATAAGTAATGGACCATATCGCTTTAGAATACCACGAAGTCGTCAATGACAATCTGGTTCTTGCTTCATCAACGTGTCCTACAGTTATTAGATCAGCAATTTCTGAAATTGAGACCATGCTTGAATCCGAAGAAGGTATTGCCACAGTGTCTGCATTATTTCGGTACGTAGCTACAGTACCTTATGTTTTTTGTGTATTTACTAGTCGACTATGCATCTCTAATGGCCTAATCTAAACATCTGTATTCGACGATTAGAACTCAATTATTTACCATTCATATAAAATGTTTCTACATTCAAAACTTAATCTTAATATAAAAGATATTGTAGTGGGCAAACAATGAAACAATGAAACTTTAAAACGATTTATCTACCTAATCAATTTATTTGATTTAATTTAATTGTTCTTTTACTTCAGAACATGCCAACCCATAAACAATACGCAACCCTCCCGTGCTTTCTTTTTCAACGCAATAGCAGAGGCATTTGCATCATTAGTACAGTATTCAAGACCTGGTGACATCGAAAGTGCATGTTTCCTAATCGAAAATACAACAGGTTCTAATCCAGAAAAGTTGGCTTCCTATGTCAACACACAGTATACTGGTGAATGCATGGGATTATATAATGAATTCTTAGATGTATACACATCTCCTAACATAACTGCAGATGAATGTAAGTACAGTAAATAGGTACTGTGTTTACGGTTTCGAAACAAACCTACTGGAATATCATTGACTAGGTCTCCCACGATATTAGATTTTAGTTGTGGTTAAACGTCTGATGGCATTTATACATATAAACTATGTCTGATAAGTATTTCGGAAAAATTAAGGTAGAAGAAGGTAAATAAAAAAGAAATAGTGTACTATCTCTTGTGAAGGTCACGAGTAGGTATGAGTGTTTCGTTCTTAGACGCAAAGGCAATAAGATAACGCGCCTGCTAAACCAGCAACTGTTCAATCGTTGATGGCTCGTTAACCGTGATACTTTTCGTGCACATTTATTATTGTGGCATGGTCACAAAATGTACAGGTCGGACGAAGGAAGCTGACAAGTGGTCGCGCAGGTACTTACCCATTTATGACCTATCTGGGCAAGTCACTTTGAACCAATATACAAATAAGCTCTTAGTAGGCGTAAATTATAATATTAATACAGATGGGAGAGTAGCGTACTAGAAAATAATGTAGAAACATAACTTACCAAAAAGAAAAAATTAACCTATTGCTTTTGTTTTATAGTTAGTTTTCACATTCACTGTCATCATGGGTATCTCTATCACTGTTACAAACATCAACAATTAGTTCTTCTGTTTGTATGTCTTTTACTTGCTCACTGATCCCTATTTTTAAATATTTAATCGACACCCCTGATAGGGATACTGAAGAAAGAGAGAGAAATTTTAAAGTTTCTGCCAGCTTCCAGCGTCAGGCCTGTACTCTATTATGTCTCCAGATGTTACCTTTCAAATATTTCGGGATACTGATCAGATATAGTAGATAAATATATATAATATATATTAGGCATACATATGTACAAGACAATAACTTTTTACAGTGCGCCAATGGCACTATCAAACTTGCACAGAATATGGCTGGTTTCAAACTTCAACATCCAATAACCAACCTTTGGGTAATACATTTCCTTTAGAAATGTTTAATCAAATCTGCAAAGATATATTCGGATTAGAGTAAGTACGAGTATAAACGAAATAAATAATTAGAAGTACATTAAGATAAAAAAACTCGGATAGATTTACGGTTTATCGAAATAGTTCTATGAATATATACTTCACATTTATCAAACATCTTCAGGAAAACGTTAACGTACAATTCAAAGATTTTATTTTACAATTGGTCATTGTTTAATAGTTCCGGGTACGTAGGTACATACAATTCCTAGGAAATGTATACAATTCCGAAGCTGTTTAGGAAATGTATCAAATACTGTTTCAAACATTTTTTAGTACACACATATCCTGGGAAATGTATACATTTCCTAAAGTAAATTATTTCACACATTTTCGGGTGATTTTAGGAATTGTATACATTTTCTAGGACGGATTCATACATTTCCGGAAAGATATAAGCCACACGTTGCCAAGTGTGCAAGCGACATTAGGGCATGCGCTTTACATTAGATATCCCTTTTTTGTGGTGTCTCCTCCTATCTATAGTCTCCATTGGTTTACACTAAATGTACCTTTTTTACCACAGACAAAGAAAATACCACAAATGCCGCGGTAAACGCCATCTGTAGTACAATGCTACATTTTAGGATTACGTATGCCCCAACAAGGTCCATTTAAAAATATGGATATCTACTTGCTGAATCGAATCCCGGCGTAGCAAACCTCAACGTGATAGGCACTTTACCATAATCGAATAAAATAATTCGAAGTGGTCTGTATTCTGTCGAAACTGCCAGACGCGGATCCCGATTTCGATCTTTTGGATCTCATCAGCGCGTCGCAGACAGCTCCGACAGAACAGAGACCAACTTTACCTGCTGTCTTAGCCATAGACAAAGTTTTTCACTCATCTCCAATTACCACAACTAAATTTTTGAGAAAGGAACACGCGTTTCGCTTCTATAAATGTGGGTAGTATCCCGGGGCAGACAGAGAAGGTAAAACATTTGTTTTTCAAAAATTTAGTAAGGGTAATTTGGGGTGAATCTGCTAATTTATTTACTTACCATATTTTCCTTTTTTACTATTCACTGCACTGTCAAAAAATCTAATATTTTTCTTATCAATGTAGCTACTACTTGGAACTAAATTAAATTTTCAAAAAACAAAAAAAAATTCACACAAAATTGTAATATACTACTCTATCTAATTTAGATATGATGAAGAAGTATTAAGTGTTGGTGTGGAAAGAACAAATGCTTTCAATGGAGCTGATACTCCAGAAATATCTCGACTCATTTCAGTACATGGTAGCGTTGATCCTTGGCATGCGGTGGGATTATTGAGAGATCTTCATTCTACGGCACTTACATTTGTGGTTCAAGGTAGATCAATAATGTCACAATCGTTAAGCTCTTTACATGTAATACTGCGTTTCCGTTTTTTCAATCGTATTAACGGTATGTTCATTACAATTCATTATCCTTCATTTCAATCCAAATCATGCTTTCTTTAATGGGTTGTGTTGTAGTTATTTTGAAATATGTTTATTACTTTATCGAAATTTTTAAATATTTGTGGCTTTATGATTTCATCTCTAGAAATACAATAGCTAGCCCATAAAGATGCATAATAGACTGCGCATTCTTTATCTAGCTATAAAGTAAGTACAGGCAGACACGTGTGAGAAAGACGAAGCAATCGTACTGCCAGTAGTTGCCTTTCTTCTAGATTTTGTTTGGTCTAACAGGTCAATTGAAAAGTCCCCGGCCTAAAATAGTAAAACACATTTTTTTTGCAAAATTCGTTTTTTTTATTCAACATAATTCCCTTCAAGGGTGGTACACTGATTATAGCGATCCTCCAACTTTTCGATACCATTTTTGTAGTACGATTTATCCTTTGCTTCAAAATATGCCTCAGTTTCGGCGATCACCTCTTCATTCGACGAAAATTTTTTCCCAACGAGCATTCTCTTGAGATCTGAGAACAGGAAGTAGTCGCTGGGGGCCAGATCTGGAGAATACGGTGGATGCGGAAGCAATT